ATTTTTGGGGATTTTGGAAATCACAATTGCTATTCAAAGAACGAGGGGTGGAAGACCTATGGATATAAGCTTTCAAGTTACGGAAGCGTGTTTTGCCGTCGGTTTTCTCTGCAATCAGAGACAAAATACGCTCACCATATCGCAATCCAGTCTAGATATAAATAAAGTGACCAAAAGTTTACTATTTCGAGTTCCTCCTTGCTTTAAAAGGCACCTCAAGCCGTTGGTCCCGGTGGTATCTGGAGTCATTAGCACCCACCAATCCGCACTGGGCCCGCGTGGTGGGTCATGGCCTCATCGCCCTATTTCATCTATAGGGAAGGCCTATGCATCAGCAGCAGGGCTTATACTTGCTTTACCCACAGGCTAATAAGGCTTGAGCCTAGGGCTCAAAGACTAAGGGGGCGGCAGGCGGGTGTGGCGCTGAGCTGAGACTTACATCAAGAACGTCGCCAAAGGGGGGCAGATGGATATTATAAAAAATGCAGCCAGATATAAAGCAACCAAAGTCCTTACTTCACTCACGAAAGTTTAAACGTGATATATACAAAATACAATGTATTTAAAACTCATAGAACTTTTTACACACGTGTATGTCTTCTTTATCAGTATTGTTATATACGTGTTTTTTGATAACAGTATAAAATTGTGATTGGGTATTTTTACCAAAACTATCGACACAAAAACTGAGACCTATGTTTTCTTTACCATAATTTGCTTAATTTTTATTCTAGGTACTTCCATAAAAAAACTAAAATAAAGGTTTATTCAAGTACTTAAAAATAAGTTCTATGATTTTTGGGATTTTCAAGTTGAAACTTTAGAATTTGGCGTTTAACAAAGAAGATTGAAGCTTTAATAAGCTATCACTCCGTAAGGATTCAATGTAGGTACTTAGTGGTATTTTAAATCCATTATTTTGTATGTTATTTAAGAGCTACATTTTACTTCCATTGATATTTTTCATTTAAAACAGTTACAAAGTTATTCATGAATAACTGTCTGAAAACTTATTTTTAAATTGCGTTTACACTTTCGAATAAAATGAAAAGAATTGCCTATCAGTTAAAAACTTTATAAAACAAAAGTTGCTTAGAGTAAGTCAGTCTATCTATCCCCCATCTTAATTTAAAAAAAAAAGTATATTTTATCCCCGAGAAGGAGTAGCGTCCACACTCAGGGTAAAAGCAACCCTCGGCACATTGACGACTTTGAAGTAGATGGTAAGTAAAACCTACAGCCACATTTTGGTGCTTATCGGTCCTGTTTGGTAGAATTGCTAGGAAAAAACCGTGCATTGACTGGACTACCTGGTACTTGTAATTGTAGAGCAGATGTTTTTTTTAATGCTTAATAGGTAAGGCGTTTGTTTGACCACAATCTCGCCTGATGGAAAGCGATGATGAGGCCTAGGATGTGTACACGCTTGCCTAGAAGATGCCTTTTCACTCTGGCCTTGAAGATGTCCAGATTATATTGGTCCGGGAAAACAGACCTCGGTAAGGAGTTCCACTCCCGAGCCGTTCACATAATGAAAGCGGTAGCAAATCGCGTCGTGCGAATGGGAGGAACTTCGACAACATAAGGATGAAAGCGCGCCGTGCCTGGTCGTCCGGTGGCGGAAAGGGGAAGGGGGGATCAAATTATTTAAGGAGCTGCTTATAATAAATGATATGTGATAAAGTACACGCAACATTCTCTTCGATACCAACCCTAATCGCAAGGGACGTGAGGGCCCTTACTCGCCACGACCTGCACACATGCAAAACATCTCTCAGTGCATGCCCATGAATAATGCGCTTGACAAGCGTGATGTTGAATAAGTGCTCGCGTGCATGCCTTCAAACCTCGTTCGCTCATTTAAAGCAAACATTAGTCAGAACCTTAGAACAAAATATACAATCTAAAAAACACATTCATGTGCATATTTTTTTTAATGGTGGTAAATCTTTTTTTATAATTTTTGTTTAAGGGACTACGGGGCCAATTTTTCCATACGAGCCCCATCGTAACTTGACCGTACAATTTTATTATAACAACTTATTTTTTTCGCAAAATTTAGGCTAGGATGCCTTGGAATATGCCAGTCTCAAACTTATCTAGAAAAAAATAAATAAAATACAACAATATCCGTACCACGTATAAAGCTTTTGGAATAAAGTATGTCGTAGTTTGTCACAAGTTATTTATTTATTATAAGAACATGGCTTCTGGGATCATTATTCAATACTTGTCGTTCCTTAACAATGGTTCCTAGTAATATTATTAATTATCTATATTGTTTTTTTTTCACAACTATTGCTCAAATAGCATTGTTATGATGCAATAAAATGGTTACTTCATACTCTATTGTTTAGTGGGTATCGTGTAATTATTAATAACCGAGGAAATATAAGGTCATAGTTTGGGTAATTATACAACACCTGACGTCACTCATGTAGGCAAGCGCACTCACGCTTTATTATTTTCATCTATATTTATCGAAAATTGTATATAAATTCTTAAAAACATAATAATTGGTGACAGTCCAAATTACCTGAAATTTGGAAGAGATTTTATTAAAAAAAGCCCGCCACAGTATACGTCTTAATATTAAGAGCGATCCACTAAGACTTTTTTCCTCAAATTAATACGGATGAAACCGGAGGCACCTCTAGTGATTAATATAAAAAAGAACAGAAGGAGAACCAATCAAATGTTTCTTAAAGATTTTATTTATATTAAATATTATTTTTCATTCTTTCTTGATATATCGGAACCATCTTACGTTGTGTAAACAAAATACTACGATGATTTGAACTCTGTTCCATATTTTTTTGTAAATGCTGTCATACATCCTATCAGGCTTTTGTTCTTGCGGCCGAATAAGAGAAAATGGCTTGGAACCATTTAATTTTTGTGACAATGGTGCTTAAAAATATTGAGCGTTATCATCTAGCAAAACGTACGCGGCACAATCACATCGTTCGAATGGCGAAAGCTTAACTTATGATTTATTCACAGTATTTCACAGCTATATGAGTGTGGCGCGAAACGCCGCACTAGCCGATAGTATAACTGTAAACCCCGCGATCCTTTAATTTAAATATCAAATATCGAAACTATACCGTCTTAGCTGTATCGGAGCCGGCGTAATTACTACGACAACTCCTACATTATTACAACGGCATTCAGCCGAACAGCACGGGACTGTGAATAAATTATTCATGAAAGGATAATCGCGATTGAAGTGTGTATACCCGAACTCATTCATATTCGAAGCTACCAGCTTCCCACGTCAATTATTGTCGCTTTTGTTTGTGGAAGTTTAATGTAAACCACCGAAATCTTTTTAATTTTGTAACGTTACACTGTTATTGTGCCAATATTTTTGTAATTGTGTTACAAATGATTTTGCGATATCATTATTCCAGTGTTCCAAGTCAATCATCAATAATCGATATGCCTTAAACCTTACGTCATTTCTTTTAAGATTTATAAACGGTTCTAAATGCTATCATGAATTTAAATAAAGCATTACTTATAACAGTTTTCGCTACGTTCTTACCATGAATACATTCCTGATGTTGTACTTTTCTTTTTTTTACAAATTTTCCAGCCTTCAAATTGTGTAAATAATAATGAATTAATAGATGCACAAAATGTATAATATAACAAAAATCGTAAATGGCATATTTACAATATCATGTCTAATAATATAAAATTATCGTCTTTGATTAATGAAACTGGAAATAAGCGTTTTAAAACATTCATCAACTGAAGTTTCTAAGAACATTACATGCCTTTAATGCCTATAATAATTTAATCTCAACTTCTCTCATCCGGAAATAACATCGACCCGTACGCAGCCACGAACGTTAATTCTTCCTCATTCTCATGTAACCGCCTATGTTATGATGATCCCCATTACGATCTAACTACGTGAATTATCGACTTTCAAAATTCGAAGTCTAGCCTGCCCACTTCACACTAATGAGGAACATTTCGAGAAATCCTACGCAATTTATAATGCTAAATTCGCAATCCTAATAGCACGAACGCTATTATAGGGAACTCCGAATAATTATACCATAAAACAAATGAGGATCGACCATATTATCATTGATCTCAGACCATACCATAACAGCCTGAGCTAAAAGCCAAGCGTTGCCAATAAACAGCAATGACTGCAACCACTTTAGCTGTAAAGTGGCCCAATACGATTATTTTTACATGTTTATAAATAATTCACGCAATACGCCTTTACAATTGGGAGCTTTAGTGGCATTTTATATTTAGTATCCCATTTCAACCCTTTACCGGAAAGAATTCACTTTGTTTATACTTTTTGTGAAGATGCTTGCTTCGAATACTAATGCGTAAGCTCAGTTGCGGGTGGTATGCATGACATATAACTACTGCCGACTAACGCAAACTTCAACGCTGGAACTTATTTTAGGAATGATGCATCGTCAACATTATAATTAAAAAAGACATGTTTTTATCTGTATTGTGTACGTGCATCATTGAAGTGTATATTTCATGAAGAGGTTAAGAAAGAAAATAATAATAATAAATATTACCAACACTCACACCAATTAGCCTTGCCCCAAAGAAAGCACTGTAAGGCTTGTGTTATGGGATACTAGGATAACGGATAGAATACATATACAATACATATATAAGTATATTTAAATAGAAATACATATTAAACATCCATGACTGGAGTACAAATGCTCGTATTCATCACACAAACACCTGCCCCCACCGAGACTCGAACCCGGGACCTCTCGAATTGGCGACACCTTGAAACCCGGCGTATAAACCACTCGGCCACGGAGGTCGTCACAATAATAATAAAAATGAAATACCTACAATATAAATATAGCGGTACATCTCATCATCCGATTCCTGAAATCTTTCCGAGTGAGAGTACTTATTAGAGTATGATGTTACCATCAAATGAATGCGTGAAACAGTTTTGGTAAAAGTATTTAATGACGTTTTCTTTTCAATTTAAGGTATCTACACTGCTATCACGACTATAATCTACATAGCAACTGGGATTTCCGAAAATAAAAACACCGTTAAGTAAGTACAGTTTCTTGTTATTTGTATATGTAGAGAATTTAGTTTTGAAACATAGGCACCACTTGGTGCAAAATTTAATAAAAACTTTTTATCACTTGAATGTATTCATACAGTGGTAGCAAAGAGCGCGAAACGCCCCCGGGGCGCTGTTAAGTTAATGCTCTGTTTTAATAGAAAATATTTTTACATAAATGTTAATTCGAAAAAAGTCTCCGCTCATTCTTGAAACGGTTACTTGGATTAAAAAATCTATTAGCTCAAAGAGCAGAAAAAAAAATGCATTGAGGAGGTGTTCCCTCCCTCGCTTGATGCTTATAACGCAGGGGTCCCATTATGGACCTTCCTGATTGCTACGTTAAATTTACAGGGAAATATAAAACGTGCCTAAACTGAGCGATTAAGTCATATGAAAAAGGAATATTTTTCTATCGACTCGAAGCTTTTGTTTATCCTGTCACTTAATAGCTTTATTAAGCGTTGCTATAAAACATACATATTCTATTATGATTATAGGCAAAACAGAAACTTTTTTTAATGTTTCTCGATGACACATCAAAGTAGGTAATAAACATGACTGTATATTACTATGGCAAAACAAGGTGATATATTTGACGGAAAAATATGTTACAACCAAAAGCCAACGTCTATTCCTAATGCACTTAATTGAATAAGCCTTCAGCGAAGAGTGGCTTCAACTACGTTGTTACCATAATTGTGTATATAAGATTCCGCAAATAATGCGCTTTGACTGCCAATAATAGCTTTAATTGCTCAGTAACGGGCAGTCGTGAATGTATTTTAGCAATAACGTGAGTTTATCCACGACTGCACAGAAACATAGAACTGTTTTCATAGGGCTCCATGAACTAACGCCACGAAACTCATCGCTATCTCTGCAACCTTCTTTGGCCTAAAACCTTTGTGCCTACATCCAGCCCACGCCACCATAATAGTTCTCGCAAGCTCACAAATTAACGCATTTCATAATGATCGATAAGTGCATTCATCTTCACAAACTATTGCCGCAGATTCGTTTGGGCGTCCGTAAACAATGAGTTTGAGCTCGCACCCTTGACTTTTCAATATAAACGGTCGAGGTTACTATAATAATAGCTTTATTATACCACATTTTCAATGGAAATCAAGGAAGAGCCTACGCCGCTATGATTTGACTGACTACTTCATCAAATTAATATCTTATAGACATTTCAACAACAATGCTCGAAAAATATTTTAATAGAATTTAGTTGAGGTGCCTTTAGTTGAAACGTTCAAATGTTACAATAATTTGATGGTAGCATAATTTTAATTCTATTCATTATTCGTTAGTCAGATTTATCAATGGTTAAACTTCTTTGATTTCAATGTAACGATTTGGAATATCAATTTCTATTGATTCGAAGCTTAACTGAAAAAATCGGTGTGACTTTGAATCGTGACTTTGTTGTCTCTTATTGAACTTCATCGCGTGTCAGAAGAATAATGGAAAGAGTATATTAAAACTGTTCTATTAATCTCCTCTCGAGTGTCATTTGTAGTTGAATGAAAAGGTCGAGCGTGTGAAGATGTCTAGATGACGACGTCTGCTTGGACATGTTAAATTACTTTAGCAATTAAACATTGCGACTAGTTAGTTTCGTGATTGACGTGAACTGACCTTTACTTGTCTTGTGGCCATTCATGGATGATTCATGCAGTGTTTAGCAAATATATACAAAAGATATTGACTTCGACCACCGTAGATGTGGGACTGATACTAATATGCTGTCATCTATAAACAAAGCAAACCTGGGGGCCATTCGCCTAACGGAAATGCTTTGGAAAACCCTAACGCTCACGATTTCATTTTGTTATTTCTATCCGCCTAAGGTTTTGAAATGCCTCGCGCTCTTTTTTTATCTTTTGCATTGGTAATAACAATATTAAAAAAAATGAGCTTGAGGTATTTGAAATCCTTCGTAGGTCAGAAATAACAAAATAAAATCGAAAGCGTTAGCGTTTTCCATAGCATTTCTGTTAGGCGAATGACCCCCTGGTACGATTTCGATTTGCGTATTCTTATATCGACTTTACTTTAGTTAGATGATAGTGAAGTTGTCTGTTTTATGAGAGAACTATGAACTGTGCCTCAATTTATTTATAATAATTTCTTATAATATTGTTACATGGAATCTTAAACTGAAAGATTCTTCTAAATCTGCCTAAAATTAAATAAGTCAATTATCAGTAAAAAATATACAAATTCAAACCATTTCTTTGTTATGAATCGCTTCAGTTCCCAACTTTGAAATAATTTATCGAAATAATTAAGGTTTTGCTGAGTCACAGTAGAGCTTCTGAGCTACTTATACTGGACTTGCATTTATATAATACTTTACTAAACTATTGTAGTTTTTGTTATAAGTAAACTACAAAGAGGTTGTTAAATTAGTATCCCTACTTGAGTCTGAAGTCGAGACCCACATCAAAAGTATTTTAGCAATAATAATAATATATAGCAGGATCTTATAAGTGGACAATTGTGTACGTATTATGAAGAAACCTTTGCAAAACCTCGAATAACCTTTGAAATTCAAATCGTAGATCAGGATTATTTAGTACCATTTTAGCGTAAACACAATGACTACTTGAGTAAGACCTTCGTTCAGTATAATTAGAATGAAAATGTAAACATTAGTGACTATAATTTTTATTATTTTAAAGCATGTAACTGCTTGATGTTCAAATCTAAAGAAAATGTAACTAGAAAAAAATCCACGCGGACCAGGCAGCAGACGGGACCCGAACCCGCACCCCTCTCAATCCGGGCGAATGCACTGACCAATTATGCTACCGCGGTCAACACGGACCGCGTCGAAATTCTTCTAGCCATTCTTAAGCTGCAAGGCAGCGCCATCTCTTCGCATTACAGGCAACCCACAATGTCAAATGAATAGGATTTTTTTCTAGTTATATCAGCGACTTTACTAGAAAAGACTAGTCAAACAAAGAAATATCAAGTGTTTTTCACGAAACAGATTTAAAATTCAACATTTAGCAATTGCTACATCTGAGGTTAAGTTTTTAGAGTCCGTAAGTTTGTTTGTTAGGTAGCTAGTACGGAAATATACACTTCACTGACTCTCATGATGCCAAACTGAATTCTAGTCTCCTTCATTACGAAACTAGCAACCTCACTCCCTGCAAAAATACAAGATTATATTCCCTATTAATGCAGAAGTAGTCCTCATCAAAGTAAAGAATACTTTCCCAAACAGGTGTATTGAAACCAAAACTCCGTTATACCCTTCCTCTCTTGATATTCGAATCCATTTTCTCCAACTGCTATTTATTTAACTAAAAGAATGCGTGGAGATTTCTGAGTTCCTAATTCAAACAAACAATCCGAAAGATTTCGCAAGCTGGCAGCAAAGTACTGACTGTAATAGCGCTATTCCGAATTGAATACCATATTGACTAGCTAGGCATTCCATGCAAAAGGGTCTCAAATTTAATAACATTCTTCGAGCAAGCTTCATAATTTTGTAGTAGGGACATAAAAATGTCACAGCGGGAGTGTACGATTTAATAAGTAAGTACAATTCAGTGCGCCTCAAAATATACGCTGTAGCTAATTTAGCGTTTCATAAATAATTTATTTCGGCTCCTTGACATTGTAATTCGTGGCGTGATAAGGCTTCCACCGCCCCCGGGCGTCGTATTCAGCAGCGGGAAAGAAACAACCCTTATCGGTACCGAGAAATAACAGTAAAATTAACAGCATTGTTGGAAGTTTTAAATGTAGTGAGAGATGTTTATTAAAATTCCCGCCGCGAAGTAGAGCCCTTTTAATTTATATTAAACCTCGAGTTTCATTAGTTAGGTATTTAATACGAGTATACACATATATTATAAGAATTCTAAAGCTTCGCATGAGAGAGAAATATACCGGTTATTAGTTACGACGATTATGAAAAGCCCCAAACAATATTTCACAAGATCCACTTTGTTTACAGCTATTGTGAAGTTGATTGATAGTTTTCAAAATTTGGCATACAATAATTGGATGCTCCGAATAGGATCGAGAACGCACAATAGCGCACAATGACTGCGATACGACCTTGTTATATCTTTTCAAAACATTGGGCCAAAGGTTATCTGAAGCAACGGGCGGTCGATACTTGTGCAGGCTGTACTTAAAGGTACTACAGCCACTTAACTGTGACTCGGAATACCACGGGAGTCACGGTCGATCGCACAAATCAAGATCCTGCCCGCGCTGCTTTAGATCAGCCTGATTTAATCGCGCCCTCGTTTTTTCTTACCCAAAAGCTCATTTTATGCTACGAGTATTATTAAATTTTGTTGAGTGGACTCTTATCTCTCCTTTGACGATGTATCTGTCATTTACTAGTTATTTTTCTAAACAACTCTTTGTTGATTTTAATAATGTTATCATTCGATGTCACTCATCAACTTTAATTTTAAGGAGGTCGATGGCGCAGGTGGTTATTGCAGTCGGCCTGCGATCGTGAAAGTTAGACAACTCGCAATGATGGTTGGTCATTGGATGGGTGACCAAAACTTATTATCTCGAGCTATTCCGTGCTTCGCAGGGCACGTTAAGTCATGCGCGGGCCATCCTGCGCACATCTGCGGGGTCCCCGCAATACCTCGGGAGACCCCTGCCGTGGAGCCCCGGCTAGGCCGGGAGGCTGCTGGGTGCGGAGACGCGGAAGAATCCCTAAACGGGGATCCCGCGGTTTCGCACTAAGCAGCTTAGAGGGTATTCGCAGGGTTTTTAGCGGATATTATGCCGTAAAGCGCCCGTAAGAGTTACGGGGTCCTCGGTGGGCAGCCACTGTGCGAGCTCGTAAGGTTTGCGGGAGCCAGGTGTGAGGTCCGTTCGGCGATGTGCCTCTTAAAGGCGCCGTCGTCTGTAAACAGAGTTTATGCCTGCGTCACAAAAAAAAAGGCACGTTAAGTTATTCACTGTATTTGGAGTCGTTAGCACCCACCAA